GGCATGTTATTGACGCGGCTGGCTGTGCCGCACGTCGCGCGTATATACCAGTAGGCCGGCATTCGCCCTCGCGATGTTTAATCCTAATCCTGATCCGTTTAAATCGCTGTGTAGATTACTCCATCACCGAGATTTACGTACATCGTGGGTATCGGTGATTACACGCCCAGACAAACGCTTGTGTGATGTCGTCGCTTGAGATTGAGATTCAACAATGTATAATATAATCTATAATCTAGTATAGCTATAATATATATATATATATATATTATATAGTAATATATATGCGCCCTTTTGAAAGAGTGGGTTAATAAGGGATTCTTATTTTATCAACTTATTAGCGCGTGCACCTTTATTGCCGTTATTATCTCACTCGCGGTGTTGCATATTTCCATCGTCATCGTGCCGTGTCGCGACGACGACGATGACTTCAGTGGCCGATAGGTGTCAGGCATGCGCACGCGCGGGAGTCCTTGGGTTGTCTGCATGGCGGAGGTCACGCCAATCACGTTTCTCGTATACCGTTACGCCAGCATGTCTGTCCCTTTCATCCAGGAACACGACATACACGTTATGCCGCAGTGTCTTCCGGTGTGCTATTCTTGCTAGTCGGTTTGCACTTATTCGAACACGAGCCTGTTCATAGTTTGGCAGGACAAGATAGGGCAAGCACCGAAGTACAATGGGGGGTGGGGAAGGAAGAAGAAAAGCAAAAGCAAAATTAAGCATGAGAAGAAGAAGGAGAGGAGGAGGAGGAGGAGGAGGAGGAGGAAGAAGAAGAAAAATAAAGATTAATGAAAGAAATCGAGTTATGGAAAAAAGTGAAAAGAAAAAGATATAGAAGAATAAGAAAGATTTGGGCATAAAGAAAAATAAGAATGAAAAATACAACGATGATGAAGAAGAAGCAGAAGGAGAAGAAGAAGAAGAAGAAGAAGAAGACGAAGAAGAAGACGAAAAAGAAGAAGAAGAAGAAGAAGAAGAAGAGCAAGAATAAGAAGAAGTATAAGAGAAAGAAACAAAAGAAGAAGAAAAAGAAAAAGAAGAAGAAGAAGAAGAAGAAGAAGAAAAAGAAAAAGAAGAATAAGAAGCGACGACGACGATAAAAGGGAGCAGGAGTATGTAAACATCATCGTTCTCCATTCTAAAGCAGCTAAAAAAAAAAAAAGAAGGAAAAAGCGGATTTTTGTAACATTTCTCAGCATTACTGACGTTTTACGTGGCCAAAAACTAAACGGATTGTGCATCGCTGAGTAATACACAGCCCACAACTACCATTTTCCACGCGCACACACAGACCGTGTTTGTATTACCGGTGGTGAGTGCAGACGGATTGGCAGACCGTTCGTCGTACAAAATAAAACCACCGTTCTATTCAAACATCTAGACATATCAAGCGTGGATAATGTCGAATGCATACCCGAGTACATAATGGGTTTGCAGCCAAAATTAATGCGTCGCATATTTGTTCCTAATGTATAATCATAGGCGTTCGTCGTTTCTCCTGTGACAATAATACGGCATGTACGTGCACGTATTTTGTATAATCTCTACTTCTGTACTACTCTAAGTATTATTAGTATTTAAATGTAATTATCGTTGTCGTTACTTCGTAATATTGATCTATAATACGTATACGTATCTATACGTATCTATGTAGGAATATAACTATTATCAAGAGCTAATAATACCTAGGTGTACAACGCAAAACGGGAAATAGATCTAATTCACGAACATGATTATTTCTATTTGCGGCGCAGTCCGTAGAATAATTCATGTTATTGCATTAAGCAGAATTCTTTGCTCTCTAAACAAGCAACCAACGCTTGTCAATACGATACTCCTAGGCGGAGATATTCGCATCCTAAACCTCCCCTCCCACATGCCAACGCCGCACTCGATCCACTTCTGTCAGCATCCTTATCACGCGTCGTAAGAGTTGCTTCGTGAGAGTTCGTTTTTCGCCATATTTTATGAAGCATTTAGGGTGCAGCCGTGCAGGGCTGGAGATGACTATTCGCGGGCATGCCTATTGCCTTATCTCCATTAATCTTTTTCTAGCACGGCTAATGCCGCATCATTGAGGAGCCGGCAATGGTTTTTTAATTAAGTCTCTTACAACGAGCTAGTAAGAAGTACCCAATGTATGGGCATGGTGACAATCATTTGATCAGCGCTCCAAGCGTCCGAGCGGAAACCGATAGCCGACAATGCTTTAGACCGCGTGAAGGATGCTGACAGAAGTGATTCGAGCGGCGTTTGCATGTAGGCCCCGAGGGGGAGGTTTAGGAGCGATATTCGCTAGGAATATCGTATTGACAAGGCGGTTGGGCTTGTTTTAGAGAGCAAAGCAATTCTGCTTAATGCATACCATATGAATTATTATCAAAGACTCGCAGAGCAAAGTAGAATAATGTTGTCGTGAATAGCACTATTTTCCCGTCTTTTCCGTTGTACACTCTAGGTATTATTGCTCTTGCATTATGTATATGAGATGATTAGCTCTCTGCTAATTCTTCCGTCACCCGCGCCTGCATCGG